CACATCTGAATAGCAACCAGCATGTTCTCCACTGTTTCCCAGTAAAGGAGCCCCATGTCCTTAGCAAAGGGATTCTTCCACCATGCAGATTCAAAAGCATTTCAGAAGTGCAAGGAGAATACAGGTCATCACAGGCTGGGGTGGGGTCTCCTGGCTCACTATGGATACAGGTTCTTACCGGATGGCTGTTGAGCCTACACTGGGCCCTGAGGTTCCTTTGTTCTTACTTCCTCGGTTCCCAGATAAGTCTGTGAGCCAAAGCCGATGGACAGGTCTGCATGTGGTATGTGGATGACTTAATGACTGGCTTCTGGAGCCGTAGGTCAGAAAGGAATGATGAGGTGGCAGTTAGTGGGTCACGGGGTGCTGACTTTCAGATTACAGATCTTACTTCACCCACTTCTAAGCATCAAGGAAACCTGGCACCGGTCCCTTTTGGTTCAGGTGTGGAGGAATCCTTTCAGGAACATAATCTCTTGGTTTTATGAATGAAGGGAGGGGCTCAGGGGACCAAGACTGGTAAAATGGCAGCCACCTCTCCCCGTCAGAGACTACTACTCATGTCAAACTGGGAACTTGGTTTTACTACAGAAAAGAATTTCAGAGGACTGAGTGAGACAGACCTGGACTCGTGAAATAGTAATGAGACAGATCATCTTTTAGAGCATGAGGGAAGGGCCCCTGTGAGAGTCTGGTCTATAGTATCCTGTGGTCTATAGGACTAATGGCTTAAAGTACTCAGAGGCTGCATAATTTACAATTAGGTTCAAAGACTGTGCAAAGTCTAAAAATTAAATAAAGTTATATGAGCTGGCTGACTACTTCTCTAAGCTAATTCTCTTTTGTAAATGAACTGTGAGGCACATTGTTCACATTGGGGGTAAAGCAGCTATCGATTCTGATAGCCACAGGTTTGTGTATCAGTTCCATCCCCAGTCAACATGATTTGCTGGTTTAGCATAACTCTGAGGTCTCTGTAGTCAGTTGTGATCTTGTCAGCTGTGTGGAAGTTCTGACTTGATCAGAAATTCAGAAATGTAAGCTACATTCCAGATTCTGGGGTGAGGTGCCTCTGTCCTTCTTCCATGTCCCTTTAATTTTATGTTGTCCTGACCTGTCTTAATTTTTTTTTCCCATCAGCAATGCAGAAGTTTTAAAAACACTCATTGGTCAACACTGCTGACTTCCTGGAATGTTCACGACGGCAGTCACCCCCGGGGTTTTGAGTGAAGCACTGGGGTATCTTGTAATCTAAAATTGTCAGGATCATCCAAATTCCCCCCCACCCCCCATTTGCAAGAATTTGGCGTTTTCCAAGATTTTCAAGATTTCATTTGCTTTTGTTTCCATAGTACAAGGACTGTCAGATAACAACGAAACAGAGCTCTGACCACAGGTCATGCCAAAGTGAACGGAACCCCAGGGACATTAGGCCAACAGATGCTACAGCCTCTGGAGGCATGAGAGGACAAAGCCTCAAATGGATGCTGCTTTGGGGTAAAGCAGAAATGTTGGTTTCTAGACACGACATGGACCGAAAGCCAACCGCTGACATCAACCTATTCTAGAAAAGCAGGGCAAACCCACAATTCTCCCTGTGCTGGCTAGTTATTGGTTCCACACCTAGAGCATAGTTGGAGTAGCCACAGCTGGCCAGCTGTGTCACAGCAGGCTGGCAGGAGGTAAGTGCAGAGACAGGGGGCAAGCATGTCTTTCAGTGTGTCTCAGTCAGGACTTATGGGACACTAGCAAAGAGAGACTCAGGAATTTGTCTTCCAAGACAATAAATGAGATCCTATTGGGGCCAAACCACCCACCCGTAACAGAACCAGGAAAAGATACAGGAACATACTGGAAAACGGACAAAGCAAGGCGTTTGGGGAAGGGCCAACACTTGGAACAGAGAAGGGCATTTTTACACACACTTTTTATCCACAACTCTGTGAAGCAAGGAGGAACCCCAAACTCTAGACATAAACCAGAAACCCTTCTGACTTCAGGAGCTAAAGGACACAGTAAGGGGTAGTTCACAGTGAAATGAAGCGGTGTCATGGAGAGAGCATGAGGGAAGTCTGGGGTCTTCATAAAATTCCTGCCTATGTCCGTGGGGTACTGGGCTAAGGATGAACACGCTGAAAAACTTCACTTTTGAGTTTAGCCAAATGAACTGTCTGACTGAAATAAGAGTATTCCCATGTCCCATGGCCTGGGGAGTGTGCCTGCTACAATGCAGGTTCCTAGGCCTTGCCCACCGGCTTCAGAATGATACCCTCTTAGGAGCAGCACCCTGGCTTTGCATCTGTAGCAGACAGCTGTGAGGACTCTGAGGTGCCTGAGTTCACACTTTGTTGCTCTGAGAGTAGGCGTAGTCTCCACCCACAACATGCTCAGACTTCTACCAGGGAATGAGAGACTCTGGTATCAGCTGCCACCGAAACATTGTGATATGGAAGGGCCACACAGGGACCAGGCAGTTCTCCCCAGCTATCTCCTGTAGTTAATCAGAACGTAACACTTTTGAGTTGCCCTGGCTAACTCTCCACATGCCCTAGCCTCACCAGCACTGTCAAGTCTTGAACAGGTATCAGTGAATGATTCACTGGGAGTTTAGGCAGCAGAATGGTGTTGAGCTGGTTAGTATCTGAGAGGGAAATAACTTTAGTCACTGGTGTCTGGCATTATAGACTCAGCACCCAGTTGTTTTTGTTGCTGTAACATCTGACTGTGAAAACTGGCACACAATTTCACCATGAGCACTGTAACCCCACTTCCTCCCTCTATGGAAGAAAGGCTCGGCTGGCCTTTCACACCCAGGATCAGACAATGTGGCAAAGACTGTTCTGCCTCCTTATCTTGCCAGCCAAGGGACTCTTCCTGAAGAAACGAATACAACATATCCAAAGAAAAACGTAGGCCTGATTTATTCTAAATCTTCAATTAATAGGCAGTTCATGGAAACATTTTAACTCCTAAGTAAATACACAAGTCTTTAAGGATTAAGGACATTCAGTGATAAAACTTATCTAAATCACTTAGAAAAAAACTGATAAGAAAATTCTTAAATTAACTTAGTTCCCAGATTTAAAATTTAAGTGATCATAAAGCCAGGCCACTGCATGTAACTGGGCAAATAAACTCAGCCAGTTCTAAATTAATGTAACATTTTAAAATAACTATTAAGGAGATTTTTTTAGGTTAAAAAGCATGAAAGATAACTAGCTTACATGAGATGCTGAAAGAAATGTGGTTTTTATTTTCTGAGACATGTTCTCATGCAGCCCTGGCTGATCTCAGACTTACTACATAGCTAAGAATGACCTTGAAATTCTGATCCTCCACCTCCTGAGTGCTGGGATTATTGACTTCTGCCCTGATGTCTGATTTGATGCAGTGCTGGAAATACGAATGTGCAAGGCAAGTATTCTACCTAATGTGAGCTACATCTCTAGCTCAAGAAATAAATTATAAAATAGAGAAATGTATATTCTAGTGCCAGGGGCCCTTTCAACAAATTTAAGTCAAGAAAGAGGGCCAGGTGTGTTAGCACATGCTTACAATCCCGACATCTGGGAGGTCATGAGTTTGAGTTTGGCCTAGGTGACATAACAAGATCCTGTTTTAAAACAAAGTTTCTGTGCTTCCAAGTTAGACTTTATAGCTCAAGTTCTGATAAGTGGCACACAGTTTTCCATACAGTGAGTCTGACCCTCGGCCCCAGTGTGGATCTACATGGGCACACAGAAGTCAGTGCACCCAGCACAATCCTATAGTTGCTTTCTCACCTACCTTATAGTAACCAAGATTTCTTCCCTGTATTTTATGTGGCTTTCGTTAAGATGCAAGGCCCCAACATTTACATGTATAAACAGAAGCTCACCACTGTTAACAAACTCAAGTTTCTCTTCCAAAAACTATTTATACATATCTATGAGCATATGTGTGTTAAGCATAACTTTAAAAAACTTCAGGCACACACTATTCTGTATGCGTCCACATATTTCTGTGTGCCTGCATACATATACATGGAATATTCTGCATTTTTCCGGTTTCCAAAATATGTTTTTGAAAATCAAAACATTACAGATCTACCTCATTTGTAAGACTGTGTAGTAGTCCAGTGTATGGCTGTTATTGATACAGATGTTGTCTTGGTCCCCTGCTGGTGGCTGTTTTGCAAGATCATGCAAACATTTGGACATAGGGCCATGGCTGGCAGATGAGGATTCAGGGGTAAGAGATGAGAGGCTGCCCAGACGCCTGCCTGAAGCTTCCTGGTCGTCCAGTGATGAGATATGAACAGTTAGCTCGCTGCTCCTGACACTCCTGACACCCCTGACACCCCTGACACCCAAATGTCACCATGCCAGCCTACTACAAAGCTAAGGATGTAATTCCTTCTTCCAGCTGTTTCTGTCCCATAGCAGCAGGGAAATTAACTCAACGATTGTGTTATAGTTGAACCACCATGTTTGGTTCCAGACTTAACCTCACGGTGCTTAGCTGCTTTCCTCTGCTGGGGTTGTTGATGCCTTCAGAGTTTACTCCTGTATACAGGGCAATACTTCTGGCTTTCCTTCTCATATGACCACCCACACTTATACCACTTGCCCTGTTTCCCCATCAGTGAGATGCCTCCTTTATCGACTCTCTGGACTTGCTGCTTGTAGCTGTTACCGAGAGTCTCCCCTCTTCCCCACTACTCTCCAGGCCTCCTATACTTGGTACAAGTGTGTGGGAACCTGGCCTGGCTGTTTAATCAAAGACACCCATGAATAAATCGTTCTGACAGCGTGAGATGAACCCTATCGTGAAGATAACAGGAAGCATGTCGACGAGTGAAGCTGGGCTCGGCTGCCACAAAACTCGAACAGGACAGAGCAGCCATCCTTCGGAAGGAACCAGTGTTTATGGAACACTCACTGGATCGTGGGACTGCTGTAGCCATTCTCACAGACAGGTCCTTGCCAAAGACTCAAGAAAACACACAGCTCACCCACTGGTGCTGCACTGTCGAGTTTATTCTGTAAAATAACTTAGCAAAGACCAAAGATAGTTAACAGACCTTTTACATGAAAAGATATTTAGCAACCACTGTTCTCAAGAATTCAGATTATAAATCTCACTACTTCAACCTTTACAAGAATCACATACACCAAGGAAACTTTAATGTTTAAGAAGCTTCACAACACGTCCAACAAAGCAAAGCAAGTCAGCAGGAAGTCAGTTTCTTTGGGTGGACCAGTTTCTTGTGCAGAATTTTTTTCTTCAGTGAACAAAGACTGACTGAGGCTGGTGAATACCAAACAAGAGTCCCGCCCAAACTTTACATCACTCTCCAGTGTGAATCTGGCCATCCACAACACCAACTATAAAGGGGAAAAGGCTATTTTTATTCTCAGGATGGTGAAAGGAAGCACTTTCGTCTCATGGTGGCTTTTTGTACTGACCTAATGCATTTAATGAGTCAGATGAAGGGTCACTGGAAGCTGCTTGTCCCACTTCAATATGACTTACACGTTCTCCTAGGGTGTGGAGCTAATCTTTCTGGCAGTTAATTAATTGTCATATAATTTTACATTTTCAAAAAAATCACTGACTAGCCACTAGAAATGTACTAGCCCAAATCATCAAGTCCTGATTTGTGAGGTCTAGTTTTTGTTTGTGCAATCTGCTTTTCTCCTGCACAAGCAATGTTGGTAACAGTGCTCTCTGTTCTTTGTTCTCTGTGCAGAAGGTTTTCTGAGCTCCAGCTACTACAAGGAGCTTTTTCATACTTTCACATTTCCTCTCATTTTAAAATTGTCAGAAGTTATAAATTCAATGGTGGTTTCTGCCAAACAGTTCAAACAACATTATAGATTTTTTCATAATTTTACTTCAAGAATATAAGTGATTAGATTAACATAATTTTTAATAAAAAATAAACACTAGTTCTATCTCATTTCTGGTACCATGAGACATAACAGCACCACATATTCTTAAGTGTTAGTGGTAAAATATAATCCAGTTTAAGCACCATATAAGTTGGCTGTTCATGAGAACATAGTGTGACTTCGTTTACCGAGAGGCAACAGTCTTAATATCCCTGTAAGTGAGGAGACCTGTTCATTCACTAGATCCTGGTTCCTGGGAACACTGGGAAGGAAAAGGGACAGGCTTCCGGTTCAGGCTACTCAGTACTTGAATTGCCGCGTCTATGCATATGTTCTCACAGAACCCTATGGATTACACACAGAAGGTTCCCAGGAACTGTGCTGATGTAAGCGGTATGTCACCATGGAATACATTTAAAATGCTGAACACAGCTTTCCAGCCTTGAGCATAACACAGGAAAACAAGGGAAGCTAACGCTGGTGATCGACTCCTGTCTTTTACATCAAAACCTATCCTTTCATTCCATTTCAAAATGAAATATTCTAAACTCCATCTCAAAACTGAAGTATTCTAAGTTGAAATCGTTTTACATAAAAGTACTTGGGTTAACCACGTTCGTTGTTAGAGATGGTAAATACATGCAAGGAAAATAAGGTATAGCTTCCCAGCATCTAACACCACAGGCCCGAAGTCACTGGTCAAACTGGCACACAGACTGCAATACGAAAAACACCTAACAAGCAGTTAGGTGAACACAAGGAAAGTCTCAGCTGAAAAATCACAATTTTTCAGTACATTAGAAGGACAACCTTTATTTAAGGCTACTATTAAATTGGGAGACTCTTGTGTATTTTAATTTTGTGTAGGAGAAAGGAAAGCCATTCTTCTAGAAGGCACTAATTGGTTTAAGTGTGGAAAACTGCAGAGTCCAGTCCAGGAGACTGCCTGGTTCTTAGGCTGTACTTCTCACTTGTCCTGTGGTTGTGGTATTGTGTCAGTCACAGGCGCCCCTGCAGGGCTCAGATGGCTCAGTCTACGGTGTGGCAGATCTCCTTGACCTTCTGGTTGAACTCTTCTGGCTGGTCTGCATACACATAATGCCCTGCCCCAAGGATAGCCTGGGAAAGGAAGAGCCGCCATGGCAGGTGAGAGAGCAGTACTAAAACACAGCAACCCTCAGAAGCAAAGAGCCACTGCACTCTTGAAAGAACAGTCTAGACTCATCCGAAAATGACCTAGGATTTCTATCAAAAGGCTTTGAGATAAACAGAAAAATCTTCTGACTCTTAATCAATTCCACCATGCAAGAGCCAACAGAAACACACTCTAAACTGAAGGGCCCAGTAAAAACCACAACTGTGTGTACTGCACTGGGAAGTGGATGTGAGCCTATCTGATTCTGAACCAGTCTTTCAGTGAGTCTCCAGAGAGACTGGGAAGGCCTCAGAAAGGTGATTCACTACTGGGACGTCAAAGTGTGCATGGCTCAAACCCTGCCCAAAGACATTAGGTCTCTGAGTGGGGCTGTGAGTAGAGCCCAGACTGGACACCTCAAGGGAGTAATCAAACACACTTCCCTGAATGAAGACCAAAGCCAGTTCCATACTCACTATTGTCTTCACGTATGACTTCGGTCGCAGTGACTGGATGCTGGTGCCAGAGTTGCCGTCTATGCAGGATCGGGCACCAAAGATCACTGAAACTGGAATGTCAGGATGCAAGCCACCTATCCGCTGAAGCATTGGCCGCTTTGCCCACCCATAAGGAATCGTCATGTTCTTGAAAGCTGTCTCACCACTACAGAGAGGAGAGAGCCGTACTGAGTGATCTTGGGGGTGAGTTTGCACTACAGTCTTACCTGTTAAAACAGGCTCATATTTGGCTTTCCCAGAAAGAATCTGTTTAAACTTTTAAACTATTTGCTAGACAATGTATGGGGAGACCCACACATTACTGCTGTTAGGTAAACAGGGCTGCAGTATAATGTAACCAAATCAAAGTTTTCCTCTAATTTAAAACAAGAAACTGAAGCTGAAATAATGGATGCTCTGCACAAGCATCAGAAGCTACTGAACAAGTTGATGAAGACAGAAATCTAAGTGACCAGCCAGCCACTCACAAAACTGCAGTCTCTCAAGACCCAGTCTGCAGCCCCTCTACTCCTGGCAGTGAATCCAGCCTGTGTTGACAGACTGCTGCAGCAGCTCCGCCTCCCAGTGAGCCCAGGAGAAGCTGTGCACCTGCGCCTTCGGGCCTTGCCCCAGGTCTGCCTCTAGTGAGGCAGTGCTGCAGTGCCTCACCGCACCATCCCTGCCTGGCTAAACCAGGACTGTCTCAGTATTTGTCAGTGATGCAACCTAGAATCACTGGGGCAGACCTGAGCTTAGGAGTCACCATGCTTGCTGGCTTCAAACTCCCTAAGATGCAAAAATACCTCTGAATCACACTCCCTTCTTGAGGTTCCTCCCAGGAACGTCAGGCCTTTGCTCTCCCAGGGCCCCACATCTTCAGACTTGGCTTTCTACTCTGACCTTGCACAAAGCTGGGCCAGTGGGAAGAACGATGGCTTTGGGATAGTTGGGGGAAAGTAAGTATGATCAAAATAGTTTATACAAAGTTTTCAAAGAACTAATGAAAATGAGAAAAAAGATTCAAAACCATAAACCTTACCTTGGGGTTTGTACATTACAGTGGTAGATGTACTCTGTCACCGTGTCATCTTCAAACATAGAGGAGTACTTTCGCTTGAAATCAGGCCTCAAACGCTGTACTAGACTTAACCCTATTGACAGAAATAAAAACACATATCTTCTAAGTTATGATTTACTCCCAGAATAAAAAAAAGTGTTTGTTTATACAGTAAGTGCTATGTACATACATCTATACATATATATGTCTTACATGTATATATTAGGATGGAAAAAGTATGCAACTTGGGCATTGCTTTTAAGTTCCCTGAGAAGAGATGAAAGAATTGAAGGCTGTGCTTTACAAGCACAGATGTGTTAATTTTCTAGACTTGTTATTGTAGAATACATTTTTAAGTGAGGTCACTGAATAGAGCAGCTTATACATAAAGTCATCTCACTAGCTTCTATTCTTTTCCCTCCATGATAACATAATAACAATATGTTAAAGTCTAAGTAAGCACACTAGGATATATATGGGATATATAATTTTTTTCCCTTTAAGATAAAATAAACTCAGAACTTGTGTTTAGGAAACTCATACTGACAGGAACAAGGCCTCAGAGAAACAGGAAGAAGAGCAGAGGCCTCTTGTAGGCACAAGTGTTTGTTCTAGGACTCCAGACTATTACAAAGATCTCAGACATAGGCTAGGATGGTGATACACATCTTTAATCCTATGACTCAGAAGACACAGATAGGTGGATTTCTGTGAATCTGAGGTTGACCTGATCTACATTTTGGGTTCCAGGCCAGTTGGGACTACATAGTGAGACCCTGTGCCAAGCTGAGAATTGTCATCATCAAAGGCATAGAATTAGGAATTAGGATCACCAAGAAAGTTACTAGACATGCTAGACCACTTCTACCCCAGACTTCGCATTAGGGAATTAGTAAGGGCCCTTGCTTTAAGCCGTTTATCAGGTATCGTTATGTATTGCTAAAAACACTCCCAACTTGTACAAGTTGTATGGAGACAAAGTGGGAGCTCAGATCATCATCTTCTCAGTCCATAAGGGAAGGCAATGCCTGTGACTGTGGGGAAGACACTGGAGCCGAGAGTCTAAACACGAACACTCAGAGTAAGTAAATAATCCAGAGTCCCAAAATGTTCATGCAAAGGATGGCTTTCTTTCCATCACACTGACACAGAGGAGGAGAGAAGAGATCTGAGTATGGGGACACTAGTCATCTCCATCACGTAGGTTTTGGGATCTTCTGCTTAACTCTCATTGGTACCCACACACCCTCAAATGGTCACCACAGAGGCCAGCATGCTTCGCTCCTGCCTGTGTCAGACGCTGCATCTGCTTGGGTCTTAGGGCCTACCTTATCCCCAGCATTTCCCTCTGTGTCTACTTGCTAATCATTTGTAATGTTTTACAATATAAAAGCTCCTCTCAGGAACAGTGACCTGTCCCATGTTGTCACTCAGCTTGACGTGCATTCAGGGAGTGGGGAGAAGTAAGAGCTGTGCTTTGTTAGGACTGGCTAACAATGGTGAGCAGCAAACGTGGATGGCTCCTATTTTACGCTGCTTTGACTCAGCACAGCAGAGAGGCAATAGATGTTCAGTAAACACTGTATTTTGAATCTTGATGGTTTCCTGAGCTGACAAGTGGAACCAGACTCGTTTGTGCTAATAGGAAGTAACAGTGATCCACTTGAGCAGCCCAAGGGCTCTACAGTATACTGCACTGTTGCTGTGATGTCAGGGAGGCAGTGGGAGCTGACAGTGACTCTGGTGGGGGGTGCAGCCCTGTCCACCTAAGAGGAGAGAGCACTAACTCCTCTAGTGTCTATAAACACTGTTTTTCCCATGACATGAACACTCACCAAAAGGTCCTGCAATCCTGAGGCCAGCCAAGGGGTTAAAGGGAGTCAATGCTGCCCCTAGGGCTCTGATCCAAACTGGAATTGGTCTCTCTTGATCAGCAAGATCTGGTCGCTCAGGAAAACCCCATGGCTCTACTAAAATGAGGTGACTAACTCTGTCAAGGAAAAACCAGATTTAAGTTCACTTGGCAAATTCACCCTTTTTATCTGTAAAGGGCTAACAGTAAACAGACTCAAGGTAGACTGAACCCCTTAAAGGGAAGACAAGTTGTCAATCAGGCAAAATCATGCTTTTGCTGTGTCAACTCTTAAGACTGGAAGGATCTGAAGGGTTTGTGGTAAAAAGGCAGCTTTGCTTATATGTAAATTCTGGTAGCAAAAGAGACACCAAAGTAAAATATGTAACTACATTTCCTGAAAAGAGAAAGGAGAGGGAGAAGGGGTACTCTGCAGGTGACACTCACCACCGACCTCTCACAAGAGTGCAATGGCTCTACACATCTCAAAGCTGACAGGAAGGATGAGAGATCAGCTTTAAACTTAGAAAACGGCCTCAAATACCATGGCATTTAATTTCCTATGAAAATTCTAAAATTGTAAGGCAAGTTAGGATTTCCCCACAACCATGACAATAATATAACCTGGGCTAAGAAAATATGTTTTAGTATAGGAGCATTGAATTGGAACGTGTCTTCTTCCTAATCCATTCCCAGACAACTTCTTTACTAGCCATCTTCTTCATTCCAATTTCATACAAACAGACTCATTACACCATTAATGGGTGTAATTCTGTCTTATGAAACTTATCGTAATAAAACTCAGAACTGTGAATTGCAACCATGTGACTGGTGTAATTTCTTCCATTCATCATAAAGACTAACATCAAAGAACAAACACCACCCCTAACACAAAGGCATTTTCAACTGTAAGCAATGCAGTCACCCAATGCCAGGCTAACCCCCGGAGTGACATGATGACGTTTCTGATGGCTTCCTCAGTCATAACAAAAACAGTGGCAAAGCAACTAAAAGCTGTCTACATGGATTTTATTCCTTACATAAAAATGCTTTATTTTTGTCAGCACATGTAAGGATGAGTAATAAGTCTTATTTGGTATTTTTTTCAAACAGAAAGCATTAAAAAATAGTCCCAGAGAACAGAGTTCAGAACCATGGAGAAAACTCAGTCTAACTCCTCATTACAGATGGAAGGACGCTGAGGCGGCAGACATGCACCAGTGTGCAGTGGTTGCTGATGTGGAGCAAGGCTGGACCTCATCTCCCACTCACGTATGCTCACAAAGGACAACACCCTATGGGTAGGCTTCATTCCTGAAGGCAGCACAGCAGTAGGACAGTACATTTTAGTTTGCCAACTCAACACTGTCCTCTAAACTGTAGCCCTGAGAACATCTGGGGGATAGCACTATGGATTTGAGAGAGTTAAATGGCACAGGACAGATGTGCTTACTTAGTGTGTTTTCAAACCTAAGATTTAAAGAATATTTTTAGTGTATAAGAAAAAGATCAGAAATACATTTTTTTCTTAAAACAAAATGGAAGACTCCTTTAAATTCAGGGAGTGGGAAAGACATGCCAGAGGTAGGAGTAGGATGGGTAGAATGGCCATCTTACTGAAAACAGAGCATTCACGGAAGGAAGCAGCTAGCAATATTCATTACTGACACACCTCCTAAACAAAGAAAATGAACTCTTTATCTAAGTACCCCACTGTGCTTGAGGTAAGTTGGTTTTGCTTGCCTTAATTTTCAAAATATCACCCCTCTGGAAAATGTCAGCTTAATATGTTGTGCAAAGTATTTTAAACTAGGATGGAGAACCTCTTCTTTGTTGTTGTGTTGAAAGTAGTAAATTGACCCAGTGGTGTACAAGCTGGTCTTTGGGACACAGAGCGGCAGAGGTGGCAGATGCAGGTCTGGTGTTGGTCCTAAGTAAAAATATGCAGATGTTGGACAGTACAATCTTAGTCTAGTGAGGAGTGTGGTGGTCCCCCAGATGGCCCTGAATCATGCTGCTTTTCACAGAACTTGAGAAGTCATTACAGGGGGTCAAAAGCCAATGTGATTTATTTTCAATAAAATGTATTATTTGGAACTGAAAACACAAGCATGAGCATTGCCCACACATACACAAATTCTTCGTAAGATGTATAGCAAAAAGTTTGAAAATAAATTTCCAAAGCCTCCAACATCAGAAATGCAGTTAGACTGCATCCACCTTAGCTACAAGTAAAGGAGCTCACAAAATAATTCCCTTGGTTTTCACTGTAAGCCTTTAGAATACAACAGACCATGTAAAGCACGTGGTGGCTACCAAGGTTAAGTGCCCACTAAGCACAGCTGTCATAGCACTATCTACTCCACAGAGAGTACACCGAAGGATTTTACATTTTTATCTTATTTATTTTCTTTTGGAGACACTATGTTGCAGATTTGTAGTGCTCCCCCTGCCTTTCTGCCTCCTTAGAGCTAAGATAACAGACATGAGCTAGTATACTAGCCCCACCCTGACAGGACTGTCAGCTCACATGGAGGTAAGGAATGAGTCTGAGAAGACAGTACACCAGAGCCATCCTATCAGACATCTTTCTCAAGAACCAGAGAACGATTAAACTACAGGAATAGCACAGAGTCAGTCTTGACACAGACATTCTTCTCAACAGGAGTCATCAGAGTCTGCTTGAGTCTGCAGCAATGAACAGCCTACATCTCTAAAGGCAAAGCAATGGATCCCGTCCTCACCGACAGACTGGGGTGAGGTGGTGCTCTGTCTAAATGAACAGATGACTATACACACTTGACTTTTATAAGACTCAGTCAGCTGCCTGCCGGAATGACATAACCAGATCAGTCCCAGAACAAAAATGCACCAGGAAATCTACAAGGCCTCCTTGAAGCAAGGAAGGAACAAGGAAGATGAGCAGGAAGAACTCCAGTCTATACAAAGGAGCATTCTCAGACTGGAGGCAGCCCTAGGTATTTCCTGTTAGTGCCACACCACTGGGGAGAAAGGCAGGGGCTGAAATCACCAAAGCACTTCCAGTTCCAGGTCAAGTACAAAAGCTGTTCTTAAGAGCATCCAGGAGCTGCTCAGGCCAGGTCTGCATTGTCAGGAAGCAGTCAGGCAAGGGCTGTGGGAACTTGAGATAATATCCCCAATCTCTTACTAGTGGAGACACGTTATAACCCTCTCTGCTATAACCTAGGATGGATCTCTTTGCTGCTTCTACTTGCTTCTTTTCTGAGACAGGATCTGCGTACTCCAAAGTGATCTTCAATTTTTGCCCTCCCTGCCTCTGTCCCCCAATGCTAGGACAGCAGATTTGTACCACAGTAAATAGCTCATGAACCACCTTCTAAGTTTTCATCATACGTGCTTTAGTTAGCAAATACCTATAACACAGATATTTCTTTGCAAAGGAGGGAAATATAAAAGGAAAAACCAGCTGAGAGGAAGAGGCAAGTATCTTGCCTACCAACATTGGCTTGCTTTGCTCTCCATATGGGAGAGCAGCTCAAGACTCTGCAAGCAGCAAGCAGTTCTATGATTTGTGACACTGAATATTAATCTACTAATGAAATTATAGGAGGCATTTCCACTCTCCACACTGTAGTAAAACACTGAGAAAACTGAGATTGCTGTGTGGGAAGGAACAAGGAGCTGTGGCTTCCTTTGGCGTCATCTACTAACCAGTTCCCAACTTCTCAGCTGTTTCCTAAATAGCCCATGTGCCTGCCTAGCACAGGCCTTGGTAATGTATGCCTTATAATGTATGCCCTATAATAATCTCCAGCCACCAGGTTTCTTCTTTTAGGTCTCAGCTCAAGAGATGTTTCTTTAGACCACCACTGGACCAGAGAAGATCAATTTTCCCAGCGCTACCCACCTCCCCCAGAGCACCCATCCTAGCTGTTGAGCCGTTCCTGCTAGACCATAAGCCTTGTGCATGCATGGTCCTGAGTCATGCTCCCTCCTGTGCACAGCACATCTGGGCATGTATCTGACATACCAACAAGTTTTGAAGCATTCCTTCAGATAGTGTATGATTAATGCCATCTAGGAAAAAATGCAGCTGTGACTCAAAGCCTCTTCAGATACTTTAAAGAGGAAAGATTTAAGCAAAATGTGCCCCCCAAACCAAACGCAGTCACTGTCAGTAAACAAACCAATCTAGAATGCACTACTGCAACATTTCATTCATCACCTTTTTTTGATTGTTTATTTGTTATTTTTTTCCAGATTTCTCTATATAGCTTTGCCCATCCTGGAACTCAGTCTGTAGACCAGGCTGGCCTTGAACTCACAGAAATCCTCCTGCCTCTGCCTTGAGAGTGCTGGAATTAAAGGTGTGCACTACCGGCCACCTAGCGCATCATCAGTATTTCAGTGGAAGACCTGGCTTCACTGTGAGGCAGCACGTGCATAGTCACAGTACACAGCTTTTATAACTGGCAGAGTATGGGGCACCCAGACCACTGCTACAAGTCAGGCTGTGAAATGACTCTGACAAGACAGGGCCCTTAGAAATGCACCACGTACACTGACCTAACGCACCAAAGTCAACCAAACAAACAGATTTTGTTTTCTCTAGGAGTGCTCCTTAAGTAGACACATTTGACTTGGGGTTTCACTCTTTTCAAACTGTACCTCAAAAATAAGGAATGAAGACAGCCCATATAAGACACAGACAGGAACAGGTGGGACTGGGTCACTCAGCCCCTCAGATGAAATGCTGTGTTCACTGCTACTCCCTCCCATGCTTTTACTTAAAATTTTTAAAAATTACATTCTTTTACTTAAAATTTTTTTTAAAGACTGTATTTGTCATCCCTAAACAGGCAAAGAAAAGGCCTTTAATCCCAGCACTCAGAGGCCAAAGCAGGTGGATCTCTGTGAGTTTGAAGCCAGTCTGGTCTACAGCATGAGTTCCAGGACAGCCAGAACTATATACAGACCCCATCTCAAAACAAAACCAACCCAAATAAATAGCATAAAGATAGAAAGGAAAAAAAAAAGAACAAAAGAATACATCTTGAGTACTCAACACCGTGGAGTAGTAAGGAAAGGAATCTAGGCCTACTAGGTCGTCTACACAGCCTCGCATCCACTTATGACCACTGTTGGCAGTCCTCGGCTCCCACAGTGCTTCTTCTCCAGCACTACGCACAAATACGCAGAACAACATCCCGAACAGCTCCATGGGGGTCAGTCGTAGCTTATCTCTCCCACAGAGGGTTCTTAAGCTTTCACCAGCTATAAAGGGTTAGGAGTTTACAGTGTGGAGCCTGATGATCACTGTCGAGCCACAGCCTCATCCAGAGATGCCAGAATGCACATAATGACAGCTAGTTACAAAAACCAAGGGAGTCAATCCTACAAACAGCTCTGTTGCCATAACTATGCTTTTCTTCTCTTTCCCACAAATATCACTAAATTTTGTCACTATACACATGATGCAATCACAGACTAGCCTTAAAAATGCCTGCTAAGAAACAAAAGTATAGTGGGTTTTAATGGGTTTTTTGTTTGGTTGTTTGGTTGGTTGGTTGGGTTTTCTTTTGTTTTGTGAACAGGTCTGGTTGACAAGACTATCACTGTCAAACATTTAAGGAACTTTGAATCCACCAGAAAACTCTGGTACAAAGGTTGAAGTTTGCACACCAAATCTTGGAGAAAAGCTGTAGCTGGCCTTTGCTACTTTGTCAGTTCTTCTTTCTTCCACCCTTCTCTACCCTTTCAACCCCTTAACTCTAGATAAGAGAGAAAAAAGGATAGGGAGGAAAGGAAAGAGATCCCTGGATAAAGTGAGGGGTCGGGATGGGGCCATTGTTATTGTTAGACTTCTTCCTGCTGATTAGGGGTATTGAGCTCCTTGGAGCAAGTTTTATCTTTGCAGTCAGGATATCCAATTTCTTCCTGTTTCTTCTTTTTGCACAACTACTTAACAAACCAACTAATAACCAACCAATAACCCCCTACACCTCTCAGGCCCTAGCATTTCAGGCCCTCTGAAATGCCCCCAGAATTCCAACATCACACTCACAGAAATTATCCGCAGCTGGTAAAATCATGCCCCTACTTGAGCATGAGTCAGATCCTAGTCAGCTGCTGTGGACAGTCTGAAGCAGCCCCACATCACACGCAGGATGAAAATGAAAAGCCACATTCTTAATATTTCTATTTTTTTTTAAAGAAACCAAACTTCTCACTCTGAGGAGCTGAGGCAAAGATAAAACACAGCACACTGTACCACATGCGCAATGCTGTGCAGACCACACGCCTGCAGCTGTGCAGCAGGGCGGCCTCGTGGGAGGCTCAGCCACTCTGAAAATGACCATCCCATGCCTGACCCACAGTCCTCAGTGTCCGTGATCTCTGTAATTCTAGATTTAAAACACAGCTCAAAGGAAAAAAATACATCAGCAACACAAAAACACTGATATTCTTCTCTTCTGTATAAAGAAGGCTCAAAACAAAGCTAACTTTTTCTTTTATTTTTTTGGACTTATGTGTGACTCCTGATAAAACAGCAATATCATAGGAAACAGCACAAAAAATAGTAAAAAGATTCTAAAGCAAAACACCCAATTCAAGGACTGAAAAATAGTTCTAGCTGAGTACAATGTGGTAAGTCTGCAATAGCACTCAGGGAGAGAAGGGCAGGAGGCTCAAGCTTGAGGTCAACATGGGTTACATAGTGAGCTAGAGGTCAGCCTAGTATCCAGCAAGATCCTGTCTCAAAAATAATTATTTCTTAAAAAGGTCTGTAATGAAAAAGTTTAGGGAATGATATAGTCAAAAACCATGGAAGGTGCACTATGAAAATAACTAAAGTTCAGAGCTTATAGATTTGTTCAGCCACAGAGATCTAGCCTGCTTCCCATTATAACTTAACTGTAGTTTAGTGAAAAGTCTAGAAAAGCCTGGTGGCTCCAAAGGTTTAACTGTAATAGTGAAACTAAGCAATAACACCATGGTACTTTTACTGGTGGCTTAAAGTCATACCTTAGGCCAAGTGAGGTATACATGTCCTTAATCCCAGCATGAGGGAAGCAGAGCCAGGCAGATCTCTGTGAATTGGAGGTCATCATGGTCTACATATTGAGTTCTAACCCAGTCAGAGCTACGCAGTGAGACTGTCTCAAAAAAACTTATATATTAGATTTTGTATAATTATGAATAACAAATATAATATTCTTCATCAAGTTTATCAACATATAGTACATTTAACAAGAAAATCTGATTTCATTCTTTTAGCTACAAAAGTGGTTACCAGTTGTGGCATTGGAGTCTTTTAAGAGAATGTGTCTACTCTGTGAGGCTCACCGTAACCACCAAGAATGGGAACCACAGATTAACACTTGGGTGGCCCTCCCCTCTGCTGCTGACACTTACCTTGACGGGTACTTCAGTGAGTAAGCAGCAGCCAAGAACCCTCCCAGGTTGTGTCCAAGCAAGATCATTTTGTCCAACCTGAGGGCACATCTCCACTCTTCAATTGATTCCACAAACTGATTCTCCACTTCTTCCGCATCACTGTCAAACCTAGGTCTGCTACTTCTTCCGAAGCCCAGTAGGTCAAAGGCATAGACAGGCCTATCAGTGCTTAGATCTTCAAAATTCAGGGCCCAAAGTCCAAGGCCTCCTCCAAAACCATGAAGGAGGACAAGTGGTGTCTTACTGGCAATGTTCTGAGAGAACATCAGTGTCCATATTCTGTTCCCATTGGATATGCGCACAGGCTCTTTCTTGTACGTGCAGGGGACACCTGGTAAAGACACAGGGGCTCTGCTCAGTTTCACCACCTGAGTGCTCTCAGAGCAAAACCAGTGCGTAACCATAAGTCCTGTAACCGTTAGTCCTGTTATTTTAGCTATTATATCAACCCCTAAAAGAGTCTATTCCTGACTGAAGCAAGCAAACCTAAATGACCATGTTTTGTAACTACGTGGGAAGACTTACTTTAGATAACCCTCAAGTATCTGTGGTCAGAGTCTTTGGAAGTCATGTGACCTCCTGACTTCTTCTACTCTAGTATACTGAGGGTATTACAACCTACAACTGGAGAAGAACTGAGTGGTCACTGAACCCATTATTTTAAGGGCTCTAGCTTTGCAGACAATAACAAAAGAATACCATCTTGAATTTGCAGAGCACTTGACAGATTAGCATCTGAGACTGAGGTCAAATTTGAAAGGATCATGGAAAGTTATCAGGAACTTGGAGGATGATTCGTATCTACAGTAAACACACACCTGGAGAGTTAGGTCATTTTAAAGCTTAGTGGAAAAGAGAGGTCACAGGGCATGACATGAACACCTCATCATGAGGCAAACTGAGTTCAAGCAATTGGCCAGAAAAATAAAACTAATACAGTTCTGTAGATCAAAACCCTTCTGTTCAAAATCCCATATAACTAAATACTTTAAAATCTACAACTTGACCAAAGATAAAACTAAACTTGATTTATATTAAATTATCAACTGAATAGCTACTCTAGAAACGTCCTTAATTATCAAAGCCACATATTTCTTCCCTTTAGTCAAAGAACAAATCTTAGGTTCTATGTATATAGTGACCCTGTATATCTATGTGCACTGTGTACATAGAAAGGCAGCATTCATTTGAGGTTTAACAGATGCCCTGCCCTTAACTGGGAAGAAATTCCCTCACTTAGAAAAGGAGGTGATCCAGGATTTGCAAGAAGCCAAATCTCTTCAGCTTTTAAAACAGGCCTGAGAATTCCCTTAGAACTTGCCTGTAGCACCTAGTAGAGAGATCATCCCAACATTCAGTAACTTATGTTCATGTCTGACATCAGAGCAAGGCCAATTCTCAGTCAGATATCAGCACACCGTTGGGCATCTGGCAACTTTAATAATCCTACCAAAAGTTTCTTGTTAGGCAAACCACAGTGAAAATTTCAATAGTTTTGTATATAGCAACATTATCCAGGTACATGGAATAGAAATTCATTTTTGAGTTAAAACCTACACAAAAGGACTAACTACCCATTCCTAATAATGGAACCAGTTATGGTTACTTACTCTGGAATGCCCAAATGTACAAAGAGAAAGTCAAAAGGGCAATAAACAAGTGTAGACAGACATCAGCATAAACGTATCAAATAATCGCTCAGAGGAAGCCTTTGCTTTACCAACTCCTGTAGATTCTATCAGCAGAATAAAACTGTACAATAAATACCAGAAGTCTGGATCAATTTCAGCGCTCATAAGGGAAAACAACAGGCTCCTGTGCCAATATGAATGTGGATTTAAAGAACAGTACAATCAAAAGGAATGCAAAGGAGCACCCTACCCTCACTTCAAGGTTAAGGAAGGGGAAGCTGAGCAAGGTAACTTGCCCAAGAGCTGGTAACACTTCACAGCAGTCCAGACCAGACCTGGCTCCAGTCTACCATATGTTCTACTAATAGGACTTGGGACACTAAGAATCTGCTCTCAAGTATATGGTTTGGGCACATCAGGAGGATCTTTGAAAGTATTAAGGCTTTATTTGCCACTCTTTTTAAAATATTTTATTTTCTAGTTGTGTGGGTGAACGTGCACACTTGTGCACACATGAATGCAGGTGTCCATGGAGGACAGAAGGACCAGATCCTCTGGAGCTGAAGTCACAAGTAGTTGTGATGTACCTGGCATGAGTGGTAAGGCTGAACTCTGGTCCTCTGCAAAAGTACTATGTAGCCTGAGCCATCACAATACATGGTCTGAGCCATCATAACACATGGTGTGAGCCATCACAATACATGGTCTGAGCCATCACAATACATGGTGTGAGCCATCACAATACATGGTGTGAGCCATCACAATACATGGTGTGAACTATCACAACACATGGTGTGAACCACCACAACACATGGTGTGAACCATCACAATACATGGTGTGAGCCATCAGACCTCCCTCCCCCGGCCCCTTCCCCTCTTTGTCCTTCTACTCTCATTCCTGAGTGTTACAGTGGCGGTTTCCAAGTCGCATGACAAGTGAGTAAACAGAAACAAATGTTCGAATCCAGCTCATTGCAGAGATCTGTGTTCCTGAAAATGATGTCACTCCTCTAATTACATTTTTTGGGAAGTAGGTAATGGTTTTACAAACATATTACTTTAACACACAATAGTTTATTACTATTATTTTCAAAATAATTAACAAAAACTTTCAATTCAAATTGAATTCTACTATTAAATATCAATAATTATCATTCATAAACAATGCTCCTTGGGGTCCTTACTGCTTTTAGAGTTTAACAGGGATCTAAGACAAAAACAAAGAAACAAACAAACAAAAACAAACCTGACAATCACTGCCCCACCCTCACCCCATGCCACAAGCTGAAACAGAAGAGCAAGAAGGCTCTCTGGCCGCAGGTAACACAGCACAGGATCTTATCTTCATTTCAGGACAATGCACTATGGTAGGTCTATTCTAGTACATAGCTGAAGAAACTTACAAGAGGAAAACCTTACATTTTAACATTTTCTCTTCAGCTTCTTTAAGGTGTGATGTAGACGTGGGACACCAGGTAGGAAGCCACCCTGTCAGCCATCCTGACCTAAAACACCAAAAACAAAATGCAAACAAGTAAGGTCATGCTTTTGCCAACTCTCAGCTACTGCATCCTGGGAAGGCCTTGGGGGAACTCCCACCACCAAAGTGAGGACAAGCCACAGAGGCAAAGGTAAATGGGACACAGGCACTGGGTACCTACAGGTGAGTAACAAAGGCTACCTCATCCTCTAGGATAGTCAAATTCCAAATAATCACAGAAAGGCTAAAAATAAGGAATGAAGGAAGAAAAGGAGAAAGGAAGGGAGGGGAAGAAGGGAGGGAGGGACATCACTCCCAAAGAAAGGCCAGCTCTTAACAGGTAGAAGGACAAAAAGTTAAAGACTATGTATGAGTAAGTTCACCTCACCTGAACAGCAGGCTTAAATTGAGAAAAAAATTTCTATTAAAGATTCTCATTAAAAAAAAAAAAAAAACAAGAAAAAGAAAAAAGTTTTAGACATCATGAAAAAGTGCAAAGAGCTACTACTGACCTATGCATAACCTGCCGAGAGAGGCTGGTTAGCTAACTGACAGACCATCCTCCTGCCGAGAGAAGCTGGTTAACTAACTGATAAACCGTCCTCGGTACCAATAAACAGCACCTGAGAAGAATGACACAGCACCTGTCCGGACACAGCAGCACCAAGTGAACAAGGAAAGCAGGTCTGAGACAACAGATGCTGTGGAGAGGCCATGACTGACCCTTGCTAGGAGTCAACTACAAGGTGTGTAAGCTTTCAGCTTTAGGCCAGCCAGCAGACCAAAGCCTTACTGCAGTCATTTGATGCAATAAACACTTCAGCAGCCATCTGCAGCCGGCAAGGATTCAGTAATGGAAGCGGGACACTCCTGAGAAATGAAGAATGAATTTGAAAAGTGATCAATTCCATATGAAAGTTAAGGGCCTGAACCAAAGCATTGTGAGACATGAAGATTTAGCCAAAGAATATTTAAAACTGAAACAGGCTAAATCTGATCAGTGCTTGGAAGGTTTAGTAAAGATTCCTGGTGTTCTTCCCCAATACCACCATCATGATAGAGAACACACTAAATTCAAAAAGGGCTGAGTACAGTGCATGGTGATCATTAGTCTGGCATGCAGGAGGCCCTGGGTTTGATTCCTGTACTCCCAATATAATACAGCAAGCAACAAGAGAAACAAGAAGGCGGGTGTGAGGAGAGAAGTAGGCTGCTTGGGAAGGGATGCTCAGCCTCTGGCTTTTTCTAAAGTTCACAGGCTCTCCCTAGAGTTCCTGTAAAATGCATTTCCATATAGCAGGTACTTAGTAACTAATGTCTGATGAATGATCAGGTAACTTACAATTTAGGATAGTCTTAGTCCAAATTAGGCCCAGTTCACAGATGTGAAAGGTGGAGTTTAGTTCACACCAGGATAAAGGATAGACAGCTAGTAACAAAAGTTCAATTCGGAAACCCCCCCAAATCCCTATTGTCTACAGGAAATTAACTCCCTCAAAAATGCCTGAGAAGTTGTCTATTGTCTACAGATGGCCCATACTCCTTGGTCCTGTGGGACTTTACCGCCTGTCCAGTCTGCTTTTCTCTTGATTTGCCTCACCCCTCTCAAAACTTTATACTGCATATCTCTAAGGGTCACGCAGCTCTTCCTTTGGTCCTAATGCCTCACTTTTTCAGAGAAACTATTCCTGATGCCAGGGCGCAGAGGTGTGGTCAGTCCCTGCTATAGTACTTACTGTAGTCAGTGGCTACCTTTTTTTTTTTACACGTTTATCTGCCTACTGCATGGTGAATACACCAAAAGTGAAATCCATCTCAAAACATGGCTTTATATCCGGTACTAAATACTCCAACTGGCTGGTGGCAAGTGAGCGCTCAAGAGCTGTGACGGGAAGGAACGAGGGGCTGCAGTCACCGGCCTAACAGAAGTGTGACGAAGAAGGGCAGATGGGCTCTCCAGAGGCAAAGAGCACAAGTGTGTCTGTCTCAAAGTATGTGGGCCAGGCAAGGATCTGAACCTTCAATACAAAAAACAGCTGAATACTGACACAAAAAAGAGAATCCAGGAAAGAGTCCTCAGCACGCAACAGTGACAAGGCACAATGGCCTAGTAGCTATACTCTTAAAGACGAGCCAATCCCTTTATTTATAAAGTTAACTTTCTTCTTTAGACAAAATTTCCTAGTAGGTTCAGTAGTACTGTCTCTCTCTCTCTCTCTCTCTCTCTCTCTCTCTCTCTCTCTCTCTCTTTCTCTGTGTGTGTGTGTGTGCGCATGCATGCATGTGTGCATGCATGTGTACAAATAGAAAGAATCAAGACAAGAATATTAGCACATATATCTGGTCAAGTTTTCGTAGCCATATAGTTTGATATATAATGGCCTACCTTAAAATGTTAGTTTCATACTTATGCATTGACCAAACAGGAAGACCATGGGCACCCTTCAAAAGTGCTACACTGACCAACTGTTAATGTAAGAAGATGTTAGCACTAGTCCACTCCTGAATATACAAATCTATCTACAAACTAACTAAAGAATGATAAGGCTTAAGCAACTTTTTAGATTTATTAATAATTTTTTAATATTCAAAACAGAAGAGAATGTGGTTTTGCTTATTCTTAATGTATCATTAAACTGAAGCTCTTTTGTCTTTGACTGGGCGTCATGCCTTTATTTGAACATAAAATTATTAAGAGGAAGCTTTTTGTAACTGAATCTCATCACGCCCTGTCACTTTTCTTAAACAGATTTCCTTCAGATCATAGCACAGTTATTTGCCAGAAGTCAGTACAAAAGAACTGAAATAAAGTGAAGTATAATTTACCATTGCTCCAAATGACATAAGTAAGTTAGGACCAACAAAGCACAAATGCAGTATTTGGTTCAATTATCAAAAAAAAATTTTTTTTTTAGTCTGAAACTTTCTTTGTACAGGGATTAGAATTTTAAAAGTTATGGCAGAGGTCTTCCTCCTCTGACTCACCACCTGACAAAGCAAACTACTTTTCCTTTGTGAGACAGGTTCTCAGGAAATCCAAGCTTGCATTGCTAAGCAGCAGAGACCAACCTGGAAGTTTTGATTCACCACCCAGGTAGTGGAACTGCAGGTAAGAACTACCACATCTGGCCTACAAAAACAATCTTTAAAGGCTAGAATTATCTATGATTTTTTTTTCTGCCTCCTAATGAACAGTTCAATTTAGAGTTTGTAAACCTGTTACATTAAAATGAAGGGACAACAAATCTCTTATTTTCATAGTTCTACCTTTTCATCAATGTAGGGCCATTTTTTTACAAGTGAGCCTTTTTCTATAGCATATTTGAAGTAAAAAAAAAAAAAAAGTCCTAATAGAACTGTGAAGAAAGCATTTCCCCTAAGCCCAAACAGAATTCCTGTCAGAATTCCAAACAGAGTTACTGGTAAGATGGAATACAGAAGCTGACTTCTAATTCTGTATCTTTAAGACAGAGTACTAAACATACACCAGCTCCCAAGGAACACCTATAACGGGTGAAAAGCAATGTCTGTCTACCCTTCAGGAGTCCTCACACTTTCTTGCTATCTCTGTTATTCCTTGACTAATCCTCTCTTCTGTCTGCAGGACAAGGAGACTGTGTCTTTCCACTAGGACTCTGAGGCCATCCAGTTGTCTGGCATTCCCTGGGTTTAGCATGTGGAGACTGGAAGTAAGCCTGTCAGAGTCAGAACCATTCTTCTGAGGGCATAGATTCAAGGTAAAAATCCACAAGGTCTATCTGTAGATCAGTAAACAGAGATAGATGTCTCCACACAGCTTTGGAAAAAAGAAAAATATGACCTACTTAAGCAACAATCAATAAGCACTAGTATCCATCGCCAAGGCCTGATGTCAGAGATGGAAGCATCAACTGCAATACAAAGAAAAGCCATTCACTGCAAAGATTGTAACATTCCCAAAGTAAACACATACAACAATGGGAAGGCTTGCAGTGTGTCCATTCACTGTGAAGATTGTAACTTTCCCAAAGTAAACACACACAACACCAGGAAGGCTTGCCAGTGTGTGCCAAAAGATTTTCTCTAAAAGCCCTGTGACCCGGGCATGGACCTTCTTGATAAAGAAGATACAAACCCCGAAACATCTCATGTTAAAAAGAAAATAATTAAGATTCTTGATCTATACCTATAACCACTCAAGGGCAAACAAAAAAAATTAAGAAGGAAAGTTTTAGAAAACCACACTAAAAATGATAACTCTTAGGAAAGCCAAGAAGTTATGATTAACATATTAGAGTATATTTACAAAAAAAAAGTTTTATTTTAATTATCCTGCATTTTCCCCTGAACTTTCTACCTAATTCTGTGTAACTATCACTGACAATGCATTTGTTCCTCATGCCATGAACACTTAAGTTCCTGGTAATTCCTGTTTTGTTCTCTGAGACATTTGACTATCTATAGTGTTACTAAACTTGAATTGCACAATCTATAAATATTGTGAAATGCTGAAAGAGATTTCAAAGTATCCTGAAGAAAATATACAGAAGCCTGGCCAATTTCCACACACTCTTTTGGCCGCTTAACACAACATTTCTAATTAGGTTATAAGTAAAGAGAATTTCATTATGTTACAATTTATTGTATTTAAAGAAACCATGAAGCTTTGGGTTTTTTTAAAAATAAATATACAAATTAGAGGTGATATACATATTCCTCTAAAATAATTCTTCAATCTAAGAAGAATTAAACACTTCCAAATTGGAACAACAACACAACTAAAGGCCTCCTTTCTTGGAAGCAGAAATTCAAAACCCTATTGTTGTGAAAGAGAGGGAAAGAGTATGTCACATGTAAGTACAATTTAACTAATGAATACATTTTTAGATACATGAAGCTTAAACGATTCAGGTTATCACTGGCCATTACATCCATGACAGCACGTGCCTCTAATACACCTGGATGTTAATTTAGAATCTTTTAAAAGCTGAATGGTGTGATTCAGGCCTGTGACACCAGCACTCAGGAGGTTGAAGCAGAAAATTGAGATTTTGAGACCAGTCTAGGCTATATAGAAATACACTGTCTTATAAAAGCAAGAGTTTACATACCCACAAACACACACATACACACACGTCCTCTCTATGGCATTTCCCACCGTCCCTCACACAGAAGAGTCAAGCACATGTGAAGCGGTTCCGTGTAAGCACTCATACTCGCTGCTCTACAGTCAGAGCAACGTCTCCTTACGTCAGATCTGAAAAGAGCTTATCCACATGTTCTATAACTCAGTCAAGGGCATTAGGTTTAACAATTACTCAAGGCTGCTTTTAAAGCACATAAAGTTTCAGGACTCACCTCTGAGTACTGAATCACACACGTGTTTTGATTGTGTGGCCCACCCTGATTTTATAAGCTTTGTTTTTTGTCACAGGATTGACAACTGCATTTGCTGGCCTGTGATTGCAGACCTATTCTGGGCTGCAGGAACAGAGGGGCACGGGTTGGTTCATCTAAGGTCAAGAAATAGAATCCTGTTTCCAAAATCCCAGGAAAATGGAGGTGTGTGATTCTAATTGTTGTCCTATTCAAATTCAAACATTTCTGAATATTATGAAAACAAGCCACACCCCTATGGTGTGAATAATTAACTACTGTTTGTAAGCTCAGTGTTCATGTCAGCACATGTTTATAATAGCTAAAGATTTAGTAAGAAATTATTGAAGATTATCATTTATAAAGCCCTTTTGGACTCTGCCAAACATTTGAGTAAACAAAAGCCTTGTTCTGAGCTGACAAAATAAATGTATAAATATGTATATTATTAAATAGTATCTAAGTGAGACAAAAGAGCTTTGGAGCTGACTGTGGTGGTACATGCCTGCAATCCTGGCATTTAGGAAGTAGAGGCAGAAAGTTCAAAAGTTCAAGGCTACAATTTCAAAACATTTTTATAAGAAATACCATGGAGGCTGAGGAGATCACTCAATGGGTAAAACATTTGCTGTGCAAACGTGAGGACCTGAGTTCAGATCCTAGTGTCCATGTGAGGAAACATGTCTTTGCTTGCCTGCAACCCACAGACTGGAGCAGATCCCAGGAGCCTGACTAACCAGAATAAGAAGCTTTAGGTTAAGTGAGAGACCCTGTGTCTCAGGAGTAAGACAGAGAATAACAGAGGAAGGTTCTGGATATCCTTCTTCATCTGGCTTCCACATGTAACATACACACATATACATACATATGCATGCATCACACCAACATACAAAATACCATTACCTTAGAGAAAGAAAGTAATAATCAATTTTGGGTTACAGAAAACAAAGGGAAACAAACCATAATGAATGGCAGGGAAGCAAGGAATGTATTTAGGAAGCATAAAAATATGGCTTTCTAGAGTTCGAGTCAGGTGCACAGAAAAGAAATAAAACCTCAAAGCTAAGTGGAAGCCACTCAGATTCCAAACGGCTTTGCAGTCTGACTGGGGACAAACCATAGCTATAAAGCCACTGTGTGTGAAGAAGAGCATTCCTCTTGGATAGAGGAAGTAATAAAATGAGCTATGTACAATGTGTGTTACCAACCTTACAAAAACTCTAAGAAAGAATATGAATATTTTGAACTATGTGGCTCCTGGGTAACAGTGGGACAAGAAAGGGGAGGTTGTTAGACTCTATGGGGACTTGATAATTGACTTGTTATCCAGAGACAATAAAGGGAACAGATTTGATAGAAGCCAGTTATAAGAGTGTAGATAACCAGAAGAATGCAACTGTTTTCAAAAAATGAGAACAGTAGAGGAAAGAGCTATGCACTTTACACTGTTTAAAGGAAGGAAGACATAAGTAAGGTATGGTCTAAACATGTTAAATGTTAAATATGAAAAAGTAGATGCAAAAACAACTGGCAGAAACAAACAGTACGATTATACTCCAGCCCAGAAGAGAATGAGATCTCAGTCCTTCAAAGAAAAGATAGTTCAAGAACTGTCCATAAACGTAAAAAAATAAAGACTATAATAAACTCTTGGGGAATTCTTTTTTTTTTTTTTTTGGTTCTTCGAGACAGGGTTTCTCTGTGTAGCCCTGGCTGTCCTGGAACTCACTCTGTAGACTAGGCTGGCCTCAAACTCAGAAATCCACCTGCCTCTTCCTCCCAAGTGCTGGGATTAAAGGTGTGCGCCACCACTGCCCGGCTGGGAATTCTTGTATTTAGAAAATAGTTAAAAGAATAGATCCTAATAAAACTAACTACTGGTCTCAGGTAAGAGAGTAAATACGAGTTAGCTGTCTAATAAGAGTTGCACTACAGTACTGAACACTGAAGAGGACTCAAGAGGGCTGAGAATGTAGCTCAGTGGTGCAGTGCTCACATGAGGTCTGGAGGTCAGTGTGTGTGTGTGTGTGTGTGTGTGTGTGTGGTATATGGTGTGTGAAAAGTCAATAATGTGTGTGAATAAGTACTGGCATTGGCACTGGGGTCAGCATTGAAGAATTTCACAATTTTGAAAAAGTCTTGGGGCAAGCATTACAGAGCAGCAGCAGCAGGAAGGAATGTATAGATCTTAGCAGTTTTTTAGGAGGTAAGATAAAGAAGTTCACTCTTTCATTTCCAAAGCACAGTACTATACAGAGACTTTTAACATATACCCAGCAGGATGCTGGCAAATCAACTGAGGTGGGAGAGAGAAATCTGGTTTTATTTAATAGAATCTGATGACTTTCCATGATGCAAATACTCCCACTGTGGCTGGTTTCAGGATGCTGGTGCTGTAAAATTCCTCAAAATTCAGCAATGGGCTGCCAGTACAGATCAACTCCAGCATGCCCTGTGAACCACCTCTTTCTGGGTCTGCTCTGCAATGGTGAATTTCTGTGATGGCTTTCCCCTAGACTCCACCAGTATGTAATTGTCTGGGTTATCATTAAAGCAATCCACAGAAATCTACCCTATTGTTATTGTATTTGACTTTCTCAACTGTATTGCAACTGAAAGGGATAGGATTTTGAAAGCTTCCCAAGTAAACTTGTCTCCACAAAGAGCCACAGTGGGAAAGAATTATATACTCCAAAACACTGTAAGATGACAGCTTATAATCACTTGCTTTATTAATCTCCCCATCTGTAAAGAAATGAGGTGTTTTCATCATAGTTCTGGAGATACAAAATAGTATTACTTCTAGTGCCAGACTTTTCCTGGTAAAATCCCAGGGTAGCATAGGATATCACATGGCATGACATGGAGATCTGAGAACATTGTACATACACTGAATTTCCCTCCCCTTCTCAGAAAAACCACAAGGGTTCAATCACTGGGACTCCCTCCATTCTACTGACTGATCCTAATGCTTTACCTCTACAAACTATCATCACACTGAAGTTCCACTCAGTTCCTCCCAATGGAGATTAAATGTCAACATGTGAAGCCTCTTAGGACATTCAAACCAGATTCAAATGTCTTGAAGAACGTAAAACAGTAGGCAAATACCCCATGAGTCCCAATCCCATTGCGAAGTAGCAGAAATATCAGGGAAATGTCTTAAAGCTGAACGCAGACACCTGAAGGAGCGGGTTCCCATTAGCTCTGCTACTTGGTAGTGGTAGTTCCAAACAAAAATGGGAGTGGTCAGATCTACACAGGGGAGACTCTAGAATTATCATGACCACACTAGGGGAGCACCCAGCAGGAACCTAGCCTTCTCTCTGCTGGCTTGGTTGTCCAGCACTGCTCAAGGGTCCTGCCAAAAATACGAGGGAGGTCTACCTCTGTCTAGGGACTGTGGCCAGCCTTGACTTCAGTGACCTCAAGCCATCACCCAAGCCACGTCACCCTCACTGTTGTGCTCCGGATTCCTGAGTCTCTCAATATCAAGACCAAAGGGGCCCACACGTTAGAATTCTCAGAGCCAGAAAATGTCCTGACAAATTTAACGGAAACGCAAGCTACCAGGTCCTAGTTGTACCGCATGACGCTCTGTACTTCATATCAATGTAATTAGAAAGTTCAACAACAGACCAAAACAGTGAGCTCCACTTGCCACTTGTTAGCTATCGCTTAAACAAAACTCGGAGAGCGTCGTTGCTAATATTTCAAAGTATTCCTCCCCTAACATCTTTCCAAAATACTTGCTTTCACATTACCATAATCTATTTTTCCTATGGCTGTCCTTCCTATGCAAATATCTCCAAACAGCTGAAGTAGAACTGTCAAAATATTTAATTTATAAAGGAGATGTATAGTCCTGTCCATTCAAAATAAGAAGCCTTTTGAGAATCAGTGAAATAACTTTCTTAGTAATTTAATTTTTTTTCCCACCAAGACAGAAAAGAATAACTTAACACGTCTATCAAGAAGTTGGGTGTGGTGGCTTACACCTGTGCTCTCAGCACTGGGCGGCTGAGGCAAAAGGATTGAGTCTCTGCAGATCTGAAACTAGCCTGGTCTACAGATTTCCAGGCCAGTCACGGCTACACAGAGCGATCCTGGCTTTCACAAAAACAAAACAAAACAAAAGCTTAAGGGCTTCCTTCCTGTTAGGCATCTGCCCTTCAACTTTCACAAAGTTTGCTCCCGCAGACTTCTCTAGTGAAGCCAGACCGCCCAGTCACGGGAGCGCACGGGGCACAGGGAGGTGGGACGCCAGCGCCCCAGGCCCCGCGCTGCCGCACCGCCGACGGTCGGCCGTCACACGGGACGCCGAGTCCGACGTCTTCTCCCACCCTGGCGACGCCCGGCTCCCGCGTCCATGGAAGACAACCGGGTTCCGGAACGGAGTTCCGAGCTCCACCGCGCTCGGGATCGCCGGGACGGCCGTCAACAGCGGCCGCTCTCCCTCCCCGCAGCCCCGCGGCCCCAGCGCGGCCTGTCAGCCCCGACGGGTCGGGAGAGCGGGTGCCTGCGCCTTCCCTCGGCTGGCCGCCCGGGGTCGCCAGAGCGCTCGAGACCCACGCCGTCCCCCTTCCCGGGTGATCCTCACCCTCCACCGGCGTCTGCCGAGTCCACCTCCTCCTCCGCCGCCATCGCTTTCATCACCGCCGCCGCGCAAGCGCAGGAACGCACCCCGAAGCCGGCTGACAGGCCGACTGGGCGGCCCCGGGCCGCGGCCGCCCTTAAGACCGCGCCGCCCGCGCATGCGTCGTCCGCCCGCTGGGACGCTCCGAGGGCGCGGCCGCGCCGCCACAGGCTCGGCGTCCCCGCAGCCCGGCCTCGCAGAGACGCATGCGCTGCCCGCCTGTCGCGCGGAGGCGGGGGCACTGGTAAGGAAGGTCAGCCCGACGCCACGGGAGCTTAGGTAGTCATCCATCGGAATAATGACCATTAATGCGTCATTTCTCCGGGGTGGACAGCCCTGGACGGAGCTCCAGGCAAGCCGTCGGCATGCTGAAGTGAGATCCCAGCCAGAGATATTCTGCATCTGAGACACCTGGCAGTGGTGCGCATCCTCTGCCTGGCGGTGGCTCCTCCAGCCCTTCCTTTCAGGTGGTGGCCACTGGGAACCTGCACTCCACCCAGCCAGACTCTAGACACTGGACGGCTGGGGGTGGGGGAAGGAGAGAATAGAGAGACTCCTAGAATCCATTCTGAAATCATAGAGGGCCGAGGGCTCATAAAAATATATTCTCATGAGCTGGACATGGTACATGCCCTTCATCACAACACTTGGGAGTCGGAGGCAAAAACATTTCTGTGAGTTGGCCCAGCCTGATCTATATAGGGAGTTCCAGGCCAGCCAGAACTACACAGTGAGATCCTGTCTTTAAAATAAATAATTTTAAAGGGGAGAGGGCTCGAGGGATGGCTCAGTGGTTAAGAGTGCATACTGTCCTTATAGAGGAGGATGGGTTTGTTTTCCAGCATCCATGTGGGGCCCACAACTGCTTGTAACTCCAGTTCCAGGGGAATAACACCCTCCTCTGGCCTTAGATCACCTTAATGTATGTGGTGCACATACAGGCAAGTAGACACACACACGCAAACATAATTTTAAAAATTAAATCTTTTTAAAACCATAAACCACCCCCTCACATGGGATTATTTTAATTTTTTTTCTGGCTAAGGGACATCAAGTGAATAAAATCCATAAGGAGTGAAGCTGGGTATAGGCAAACAGAAGACAGTAGCTAGCAAGGGAGTCCACGGCTGCATTTTAAAAATAGAACTCAGAACCATGACACTCACTGTGATTAAACAAACAGAGGCATCCTAGTGTTACGTAAGAGATGTTTCCTTTGGCTGGGGGCAGGTCCCTCAGGTCAGGAGAAAGTGGTATGAAGTCATCTAGCTCTCTGTGCCCCTGACAAGCTGCCTACAGCTAGGGCTGTAGCTCAGTAGGCCCTCTATGCATTACTTCCTAGGTTCAATTCCCATCCCCCCCTGCTATCCTCCCCTGCAAAAAATGAAATTCTGAGAATATGTAATAGGTTCTCTTAGTTCTGCTCAGGAGCCTGATGTAAGCTAACTGATTGAGTCTTCAAATCATTCAAATAAGGCCACAAATGTGTGACCTCCCCCTTTCCCAGAGATCTAACAAAGGGCAAGTGTGTGAATGGGGGGTTGAACAGAAGCGTTCCCACCACCCTCTATAGATTTTTTTTGAAGGCAAATGGATAACATAAATATCAACCTTTTTATTCCCTTCATTGCTCATTACTTTAATTTAAAATTACTTTCTCCAGTCATCAGCTCCCACCTGCTTTTGTGAGCATGTACTCACTCCCACACACTCACTCATGGTTAGCGTGTCCTTACTCTGTAACCTCGGGGTTGTTTGGGTTGGGTTGACAGGACTCTGGACTTCATGAAGCCTACGCTAATATCCCCTTTATTTAAGACTACTCATCACCTCCTCACTCTTCATCTTCGACCACGTTTGCTGCTGTAGAGGGACACCTTGGCTAGTCATTTACAACAAACAAGTTTCTCTCTTACGGTGCTGGAGGCTGGCAGTAATGCCATGGTCTGTGGTATACAATGAGGGCCTTGCTGCTTCATCTCATGGCAAAGGACAAAGAGCAAGAAAGGGGCCTAACCCGTCCTTTTATGTGAAACCGACTCCCCCAGAACTGACTCTCGAGATGAAGGCATTAATTAATCCATGAGAGTAGCATCTCTGTGGTCTAGATGCTGCCCTTGGGCCTTACCTTTAAATACCACTACATGGGTTCAGCTTCCAGTATGAGAACGTTAGGGACACATTTAAACTTCTGATGCTCCTCCCTCACTGTGATCTTTTTTTCCCCCTTCTCTGAGCCCCACTCAAAATACTTCTCAACTTTCTATAATGGTGACAGCTTCTTAGAAATCATCACACAGACTTTATGAGCATGTGTTTGGGTGTGGTGTGCACGTGCCATGGTTAGTATGTAGAAGTCAGAGAACACTTTGCTGGAATTGGTTCTCAGGGGGCCAGGCTTGGCAGCAGGCACCTTTCCCCACTGAGCTATCTTGCTGGCCCATGCTTACAGCCTTTTAATGGATATTACCAAATACCCTTCCAATGGCAGCAAAAGCATTTCAAAGTATTTTCTGTGGTTTAAAGAAAAGGGAAGTTACCTATAACCTCTTAAACATTGTAGTGAGTAACATTTCTCATTGTGTCTGATATTGTAGGAAGAGAGAAACCTATAAAGAAAATAGTTTTATAGAAACTCTGGGTTGTTGCCAGCGGCTTGTAATATGTCTTCAGAAACTGATCATCTCCACTTTAAAGGTTATATCCAGCCTGGGAACCCTCTACAAGGCCAGCTAGCTGTCAGGGCCACTGCTGCTGCCCACACAGTTACAGCCCAGTGGTAATGAATTCAGTAACAAAACTCCAAAGTAAGGCTCCAACTCCTGTGGCACTTTCAAGAAGTCAGACTGGCAAGAATGCACCCCTGGAATCTTCATGGACCCCAAGCTTACTCTAGAGTATGGCTACTGCACACTGAAAACAAACAAAAAGCCACATCATTAATCTAAAGGTGGTTCTGTGTGGAAACTGATGGAGCTGTGCCCAGGGATATGGGATTTGATGACCTTCCCTAAGTCTGGGGACACTTGGTTTGGCTTCATCTTGATGCTGATTGTCTTAGTTAGGGTTTACTGCTGTGAACAGACACCATGACCAAGGCAACTCTTATCATGACAACATTTAATTAGGGCTGGCTTACAGGTTCAGAGGTTCAGTCCATTATCATCAAGACAGGAACATGGTAACATCCAGGCAGGCATGATACAGGAGGAGCTGAGAGTTCTACATCTTCATCTGAAGGGTACTAGCAGAATACTACTGACTTCCAGGCAGCTAGGGTGAGATTCTTAAGCCCACACCCACAGTGACGGCCACACCTACTCCAAGGCCACACCTACTCCAAGACCAAACCTACTCTAAGGCCACACCTACTCCAAGGCCACACCTACTCCAAGGCCATACCTCCTACTAATGCTGCTCCTTGGGCCGAGCATATACAAACCATCACACTGTTAAAGAAACTTTTCCTGACTAAATGTGTCCATAAAGCCCTGAGTCCAAGCAGGAATGTTTCAACCCTGCAGTTCGGTTCTGACTGCCATGCCATTTGTGAGCCCTTGGACTGTATCTTCCTTAATGACACTAAAATCAACCCCATCCCTTGTAACCAGTACCTGGAGGGCACTCCCAACCAACTGCAGTGTGAGCCAGCATCTAAGTCTGTAAATAACCTACTGATCTTTAAGTAACCTACAAACCAAAAAGTTAATTTTTTTTTAATGAGATGAGACATTTGTACTGAGGGTTTTGTTTGTATCGTTCAGCCTCAGAGAGGAAATTTTAGGGCTCCAGTCAGACCACTATAAACTTGTGGTGACTGAGTACGTCATGGTGGGAGGTTATGGTGGAGAAGGTGTGTTTACCTCATGCCTGCTGGGAAGCAGAGATAAGGGATAGAGGGACAGACCAAGGACGTGTCTGCCGCAACCTGTCTGCCTTCTACTAGGCTTCACCTCTCAAAGGACCCATCTCCCTCAGGTCCCACCTCCCAAAGTCCTACTTCCCCAAAGGTCTACCTCCTTAAGGTTCCATCTCCCCAAGAGTCCACCTCCGAAAGTTCTGCCTCCCCAAGGGCCCAGCTCGTAGTTACACCCTACCTCAGAAGAGCAGGCTAGGGATCAAGACTTTATTTAGCCCATCAGCCTTTGGTGGGAGCTTAAGATGCAAACCACAATATCCAAGTGTATTTCAGCTCCAATCCTGATGTCTTAGGGCTAATTTTCCTGAGAAGGAGGCCACATAGGTGACCAGTTTCAAGCTCAGGTGACTCTGGAAGTATGGTCAGGAAACACGAAGAGGCTAGAAGGGCTAATCTTCCGCTTCCTTTTGGTGTCCCCTGACCCCTGAAAATCTGAAGTCCTGGTGATGGGCAGGAGGCCCTGAGTCTTCCTTTCCTCTGCCTTGCATCCCATGAAGCAACAGAAGAGACTGGGTTTTTATTTTCAGTGAAATCCATGCTTTTACATTTTCCCTATGTTAGATCCGTTATCTTTTTTCCTGTATTTTAGATCTCTCTCATTTTTTGTTCTGACTTTTTAATTTCTGGTAAGTCCATGCTGAAATATTCAGCATCTTAGTAAATCAGAAAAAAAGTCTCGAAAGCGTCGACTGCTTTTCTCATCTGTGCAGACCTTGTGTGCCACCAAACAATTCTTAACAGGCGCATGTTTATACAGTAGCAAAGAGAAAGTGCTTATACACAAATTCCCCTGACAATGCTACCAACTCATCTGCCCTCTCACCATCTTGGAAGCCCATCCTATAGTTTGAAATGGGTTATTGAATATCCATTACATTCAGTCTGCACTTGTGGCAGAAAACAGGCAGGGTTTGTTGTCTTGACTCCATTATGTTCCCTGACAGGTGGAAAATAATCCGTTGTCAGTGAGCTAAGTACCTGGTTCTAAGTAACTCAGCCAACTGACTTATTTAGCTTCAGCTCCCACAGGGATGCACATGGAATGGTTTTCAGCCATCGTGGATTCCACACCGAAATATCGTCTGCTCCCACAGCTGGATGCGCTCTGTGGTGTCCTGAGTTAAGGAGCCCTTAGTGGAGATACGGTCCTAAGTTGGTGCATTGTTTGTGTGACTAGAATTGTTTTGTTAGGTTTGGGGGGTTTTTGGTTT